AAATTGTCACAGCTCTGTGAACTTAACGTTGTCATAGCTCAATACACCTTAAATGGTACATAGAGTTTACAGCCAGAAGGGACTATTCAGTCATCTAGCCTGATGTGTATGTCACTGGCCACAAAGAGAGAGCAGACACAATGCTGGGGACATTGTATGCTGTGAGTGGAAAATTGTAAATACATTATCTATATTTAAGAAAGGAGAAAGACATGATCTGGGAAACTACAAGTCTGCTAGTTTTACCTGCATTGGATGCAATGCTTTAAAAATTGTAAGAATAATTAAGGACAGAGAGGTAAATCGTAACTGGGATAAAATACACCATGGTTTTACCAAAGGTACATCACACCAGATCAATCTGCTATTTCTTTGACAAGATAACTGATTTTTCTAGACAGAGGAAATGTGGTAGACCTAATCTCCCTGGATGTCAATAAAATATTTGATACAGTTCCACTTGGGAAATTATTAGTTAAATTGGAGAAGATGAAGATTAATACAAGAACTGAAAGGTGGGTAAGGAATTAATTAAAGGGGAAACTGCACTGGGTTATGCTGAAAGATGAGCTATCTGACTGGAGGGAAGTATTAGTGGAGTTCCTCAAGGATAAATCTTGGGACCAATTTTATTTAACATTTTCATTAATGACCTTGGTATGGGAAAGTGGAAGTATGCTAATACATTTTGCAGATGAACCAAAGATGGCATGTATTGGCACAATAGCGGTGGATCAGAATATCACACAAAAAGATCTGGACAACCTTAAAAACCGTAGTAACAGAAATGGGATGAAATTTAGTGCAACTAGAATTTTTGCTATATGAAACAGAGATTATAGGATGACTGAGCTACCAAAGTGAAATGGCTTTAAAAGGCTAATGCAATATAGGATGCCTCAGGAAAGGTATTTCCATTGGAGATAGGGAAATATAAGTATCACTGTACCAGGCACTGGTGAGACCTCATCTGGAATACTATGTGCAATTCTGTTTTCCCATGTTTAACAAACATGAATTCAAATTGGAACTACAGGCTGAACATCCCTGGTCCAGAAACCCTCAGCACCGGAGTGGTCCCGAAACAGTGAGTTTTCTAGACCAGGGGAGGTCAAGACTCCCCTCCCAGCCATCAGACCCCTGCTGTGCACAAGCCCTGGCCAGAGCTGCATTACTCGCCACCAGCTCCACTGCCATCAGCCCTACTGCTGCCAGCCCTGGCCAGGGCTGTGCTCCCCTGTGGCCTCGCTGCCACTGGCCAGGGCTCCACTTTTGACCCTGGCCACTGCCACTCCCAGATGGGATCTCTGGTCCAGCAATACCCATGGTCCTGCCAGACTATGGATGTTGTTGGACCAGAAAGTACCGGATTTTAGAGTTTTAACCTGTAGTGCAGAGAAGGGCAACTAAGATGATCAGATGAATGGGGAATCTACACTACAAGAAGAGACTTAAAGAGCTTGGCTTAGTGAGCCTAACAAAATAAAGTGTGAAGAGATATATGATCGCTCTGTATAAATACTGCAGAGAGATAAAACAGAGGAGAGGAGTTATTTAAGTTAAAAGCCAATGTGGGCACAAGAACAAAAGGATATAAACTAGCTATCAATACATTTAGGTTTGAAATTAAATGAAGGTTCATAACCATTAGAGGAGTGAACTTCTGGAACAGCTTTTCAAAGGGAGTAGTGGAGGCAAAATACTTAACTTGATAAATTTATAGAAGGGATTGAATGATGAGATTGTCTACATTAGCACAGGACTCATCTGTGTCTACATTAGCACAGGACTCATCTGTAACTGCTACAAGCAAGTATCTCCAACAGCTGGAGATAAGAAACTAGATAGGAAAGGGTTTGACTTTCCATAGGGAATTATTTCCCTAGAATCTGCCAACATGGTGGATCCTGCCCACATTCCCAGGGTCTAGTTGATCACCATAGTTGGTTTGGAAATAAATTTTCTACCAGGTCAGACTGGCAGAGACCCTGGGGGATTTTGCTTTCCTTTGCAGTGTGAGGCACTGGTCATTTGCTCATTTGAACTGGTTAATGGTGGCTTCTCAGTAACCTGAAGTCTTTAAAGTCATGAAGTAAGGACTTCAGTAATGCAGCAAGAGCTTTTGTGCCTCTTACAGGAATGCATGGTGCTGTTCTGTGGCATGTGACATGCAGGAGGTGAGATTAGATTACCATCATGGTCCCTCCTCACCTTAAAGGCTGTGATTTTTATGATGGATAATCAGTTGTACATGAGCTTCTAGTGTAACTGGTTGGAATGTTCTTTGTTTGTCCACACTGAATGTAACCAGGTTATAATCACTGGTCTCTAGGCAACCCCCAGTTTCCAGTCCAATGATTCATGTATCTTTATCCATCATAATTAGATCAAAAAAAAATTACGTCATGTTGTGCTTATCTGATCTGCCTTGTCTCTTAGATTGTGATAATTTTTAAAGCTCCTAATGTGTAGACCCCACCACTGAGTCTTAGGTAGGTAGTAGATGATTGAGTCTTTCCTGAGGGAACCATGGGATGGGAGCAAATGTGTTAGAGCCATGGTCACCAACCCGTCGATCATGATCAACTGGTCAATTGCAGATGCACAACCAGTTGATCGCGAGGCGTTCCAGCCCTCCCATTCTCCCCCACACCCAAGAAGGAGCCCGTCCTGATGCTACCTTCCACAAAAATGGAGGTAGCACTGGCTTCCTGTGGCATGGGGGGAGGAGGGGAAGTCCCACAGCTGTGCGTCAGGTCCAGGGCTCAGGAAGCATGCAGGCTG